TCCACAATTGAAGTATCCAGGTCGGCAGGTACGTTGGCCTAGACTGCCAATAATAACTTTCGAAAATTATGCTAATAGCCTTAAGGTATCGTAAATGATTGTGCAGGATCTCTCCCTTAGCCCAACCCTTTCACCTTTCATCTTTTTTCCATTCAAAAAATAGTCGAAAACACCCCTGCGTATTTGGAGACTGAATTACCGTAACCGTACCAAAGCTACATTACAGCTCTGAGGAGAAATTAAATACTATCATTTGCTGAAAAACGGTCGAAGGATACCGGATTGCGGCAGGTTCCACGCGCGGATATCTGTTACAGAGCATGCATCTTAATACATTACAGTTCTTACCAGTTGACCCCCCACAAGTAATAGGCCGGTCGGTGACCTATAAGAATTGGGGGAAAATTGGGGAAGAAAGAGGCATAGAGCAAATAAGAATGCCTCTCATTGAATCGGTATATCTTTACTTTTTAGAGAGTTTTTTTTACAAAATCCCATAGAAAGGAAAATGAGATCCACGAAGGCGTAGTTTTTTTTGCACTACTAAATTCAATTTTTGTGATTTTAATTTCATGGGAATTACGAGGGAGAGGTGAGGGGGGGGGGGAGAGAATAACTATTTACACAGTTGGATCCCTTGAAGAATGCCTAACTTACTGCACATATCGACATCTTCGTCCTCTGCATGTGGACAATCCGGATATCTGTCACAAGTCTCCTCATATGGTATACATTTCTCGTCCAACTTGCAGAGAAACTCGTTCTCGGCGCAGTTTTTCGTCGCGTACTCTGAACAAGCGAACTTTTTTCCAATCAATAAGCATCGTTTTCACAGGATGACCTACCGTTTCCAGTGCATGTCACATTATCCGGCTGTAGCTTGCGTTCGCCACGGCAAGCGCAATGTGGCTCACCGCGAGCTGTGAGGCGACATTCATCACTACATTTAAGCGACGCGCATAGATCAGAACCGCCTAAAAATCATTAAAATGTAACTCAATCAATTATTGATTTTTTGACGAATCCAGAAACCCACATTTCTTGATATCCTTAGCTGACACGGCTATACTTTGCACCGGAGTC